TGGCTAAAATTTTCTCAACTTCAAAACAAAAAGCCTGCCTTCTCTCCTCTCTTCCCAACCTTACTGACTCCCTCAAGTTTGCGCTCTTCCGGGACACAAAGAAGTGCGTCCTAATTTTCGCGAATGGACTTCATATGAGCGACGTGTTATTCATAGGATGTAGGCTTGATTAAATGTAAGGTCACAGCAAAACGCAGACATCGTTCTGAAGGCATGTTTTTTTTCGTCCCTGACCACACAACGCTTAAATAGTACTGACCTATGCTCATGCTAATATTTTTTCAACAAACTTTACCTGAGAGCTACTCCACTCGTGAATAAAAGTATCTGTAAATGCCCGTGGAATCCGGAGTTCACTGTAGTGTCAACGTATTGCCTGTCGGTAGATTTGGTACCCAGGGGTGAAGGACTCCTCACATCTTCTCAACCGCACACCTCTTACTGCCATTACCTACTCTTGGCTGAATTATTCGTCACGTGGATGCAATAATTTGGCGAAATCTTATCCTTCCTTGCTGTTCGAAATAGCATTGATTGTGAGAATTAAATCGGTAAGGGCAATTCAATCCCCGCGATTGCCATCATGGGTTACCCTCCTTCCATCTCCGAGGCCTGTACTTCCTACTCTAAACTTGTAGTTTTGTTTCTAAGTTATTTAGCTAGCTTAAAATAATGGTTTAAGCAGGACTTTTCAAGTTCAACTAATCTGGGCCTTACGAGTACTATCTAAATAAATACGTACTACACTGTTGGAGAGGAGGAATCTTTAAGCCCTGGGAACTGTTTACCACAGTTTTCCTCAAAGGTATGCGTATATCCGTGATGACACCACATCCGGGTGAGTGAGGGAAGAGGGAGTGCGGTAGATGCATCGCAAGTCGACTATCAATTAAAACAAACGTACAAGTCATCACGCGATGGACATCGTCGAACTCGACGGTCTGCTTCATTCCCGTCTGCCTAATTGATCGTCGTTAAATCAGTGAGTTGATATTGCCCAGTAGCGACGAGAATGAACTAGTTTGCAC